TAAGTGTTTGGTTTGAAGCACATGATAAAGGCCAGGTGATGCTGAGAGGATGAATATTTCCCTGAGGTTAGATGGTTTATTCATCATTCAAGCACAGGTAGAGAACAGCTGTTGTATTCCAGGGGATATTAAGTACTGAGTGAACATGTTGAATGGGCGTAGCAGAGGCTGTGGTCACAGAACTTACATGCTAAGAGGGCAAGATCCATAAAAATAAGCAAATACATGTTGTAATGTGAAGGCATTGTGAGCAATCATCAAATAGAGCAGCAGGCTCAGGGGATACTGGTAAGGAGGAAGGCGTCCTGTTTCAGACATGTTTATTGGAATTTATTCTGCATGGGAAGAGAGCAGCAGAGGTCCAGCAGTGACAGGACAGCAGCAAACCTGGGAGAGAACCAAGAGAGTGAACCAGTGAAGAAGGAGGCGGGGGCAGCGCTGTGTGGGGCTGAATGTGCCAGGGTAGCCGGGATTTCTAGTCAGGGATTAGATTCAAGCCAAGGAAGATCACTGGCTTTGGAAGGAATAGACTGTTCAGACAAGCAAGGGAGCCAAAGCCAATTTGGAGGTATATTAAATTAGGATGAACCAAACACTGTAACAAATAACCAAAAGTGTAGTGGTTCAAGCATGATAGAAATTTCTTTCCTTCTTGCATGAATAATCCAAGAAGGATGTTTTAAATGAATGGAAAGCCCTCTTCCATACAAGGAGATGATCACAGAGAAGAGGCACACGTTCTCTTAAAGATCTTGATCCAGAAGTGCCATTTACCAGGTCCGTGTCCAGTTAGAACTTAGCCACGTGACCACGTCCATCCATAGACAGTCCTGAGGAATGTGTGCTGGCTGTGGTCTCTACCACAGGAGCCCTCTGCCGGGAACAGATAAGAGGGATGAAACTTAGGATGGGAACAGTAGCGGTGGGAAGGAGTGAACATATCCAAACTGTACTTTTTTTTTGAAGATTTATTTATTTTTATTTGAAAGATTTACAGAGAGAGAGAGAGAAAGGAGAATCAGAGAGAGGGAGAGAGATATTCCATCTGCTGGTTCATGCCCCAAATAGCTGCAGTGGCCAGAGCTGGGTCAGTCTAAAGCCAAGAGCCTAGGGCTTCTTCTGGGTCTCCCACATGGGAGAGGCTTAATCAACTTGGACCATCTTATTCTGCTTTCCTAAGTACATTAGCAGGGAGCTGGATTAGAAGTGGATCAGCCAAGACTCAAGGCAGCATCCCATATGGGATGCCAGCACTGCAGTTAGAGGTTTACCCTACTATGCCATGGTCCCAGTCCCTGAGACTATATTTTGATGTAATGTCACCAGGATTTATGGATGGAATGGGGGAAAAGGATGATCCTTGAATTTTTACATGAACAGTGGTGGTCTCGTTTATTCACATGAAAAAAACTCATGGGTAATCAATGTTTGCCATGTTGACTTTGAGTGCCTATTGGCCAGGTAAAAGGAGCTTCTAGAAGACCGTTACATATTCAGGATGCTGTTAGGGAAGAGGGAGGTCGAGGATGACATGAAGTTGGGATGATCAGTGTGTAGACAGTATTTTAGGCTATGGAGCCCAAGGTGATCTTTTAGGAGTAGTTTGAAAGAAAAGAGTGTTGGGGACTGAGCACTGGAATCCTCCAGTATTTTCGGTTGGAAAAGAGGAGGTGAGCCAAGCAAGGACAGTGGGCAATGAATTTAGGACAACAGGAAAGGGAGGTGTCCTAGAGAAGACAGTGTTTTAAGAAAGAGGAAGTGACCAGTGCTGCTGAAAAGGTCAGGAGGATGGGGCAGTGACCTTTGAATCTGAAAGATTTAAATCATTGGCAAGCTCAGTATGAGTAGTTTTTGTGAAAGGGTGTGTGCTATCTCTTAAACAGTGGACTGAGGAAATAATGCAACACAGAGACTGTGAACACACTTCTGTTTTCTAAAAGGGAAACACATAAAGCAGTCAACAGGGTGTGGCCTGGAGATGTTTGTTTGGACGGGAGTCTTTGTGTGTGATGCAGATGATTCAATAGGAGGTGAAAAATGAATGATGCCGAGAGAAGAGCCATGGAAACCCCAAAGGGGATGAAATAATCAATTAATAATAATGATAATGGGAAGGGTGTTGGATAGGAGCAGGTTCTATAAACAGGGTAAAGACTGAATAGACAGGAAACAGATACCAAAGGGCTGACAGATGTGATGGTGAGGAGATGTGAACACCTCCTTGGAGAGGGGAAGCTGGGAACTTGCATCAGGGGGTGGGAGAGTGAGCTGATTGGGTATAAGGCCGAGCAGGGCTGCTGATGTGTGAAGACAATGCAGAGGAGGTCATCAAAAAGTTGTTGAAAAATGAGAGTTTTAAAAAAGCTATATGTGGATTTTAAAAGCATTTGTACCAAAATAAATTATCTTTTAATTGCATTGTTCTGTGAACTTTTTAAAGTTCCCATGAATATGGAAGGGAAGTAACAGAACACTAAACTGTCGTGGATCATAAGAGCTAGGCTGTGAAAACTGGAGGTCGGTGATTAAGAACAGTAAGGCAGATGAGCTAATGCTTCTGTAGGCTGTGCATGGCCAGAGTGCGCAAGAGCAGATGAGCTTCCATCTATATATGTTGGACACTGTGGCTCATCGGGACACTGGATGTCGTTTGTTAAGCTGCTGCTCAGACACCTGCTTCCCATATTAGCGTGCCTGAGGGTGAAGTCTCACTTCCGCTCCTGACCCAGTTTTCTGCTAATGTACCTGCGATGCATGTGCAGATGATGGCCAAGGGTATGAGTTCCTGCCATCCCTGTAGGACACCAAGATGGAATTCCAGGGTTCCTGGCTTCAGATCTGACCCAGGATGGAAGGTAGATCTGTCTGCCTCTACCTGTCTTTATGTCTCTCTGCCTTTCAAATAAATAGACAAATAAATATTTAATCAGTAAGATTTTAAAGAGGAAGTGAAATGGTGAGAGAAATTTGCTTAAAATCATGGTTTAGTGTAGGTTCACCGGTAATGACAATCCTCAAGTGTGGCTAAAGAAGTTGAGAGTTGAGGTGAGTGAAAGAAAGGATTTTTGGAAAGAGAACTGCAAGCAATGAACAAGCATTGAATGAGCTGCTTATGTGGAAGCCACAAAAATGATGACGATGATGATAACGATGATGAGTGCTGCTACAAAGGTAGTGAGTTAGGGGCTGAGATCTTTACTAAAAAGGAGCCGGTGATCATGAAGTTGGTAAAAGGCTGTAAAAAGAGTAGAGTGTGCGGGCCCGGCGCAGTGGTGCAAGTGGTTAAGGTCCTCACCTTGCATGCCCGGGATCCCACATGGGCACCGGTTCTAATCCAGCTCCCTGCTTGTGGCCTGGGAAAGCAGTCGAGGACGGCCCAAAGCTTTGGGACCCTGCACCCGCGTGGGAGACCCGGAAGAGGCTCCTGGCTTTGGATCGGCATAGTATCGGCCCGTTGCGCTCACTTGGGGAGTGATTCATCGGACGGAAGATCTTCCTCTCTGTCTCTCCTCTCTGTATATCCGCCTTTCCAATAAAAATAAAATCAATCTTAAAAAAAAAAAAAAAGAGTAGAGTGTGAAATAGTCTGTTGTCATGCACGTAAGAGGAGCCAGATCATATGCCACAGTGATCAGAGAGGATGGAAGACTTAGACTAGAAGTCTCTGATAAGTCACAGCTACATGCCCTGCCCTGGGCTCAAGATGCTGTGGCTCCTGCCCCATGACAGAGAAAACCCAGTGGGCATGGAAGCATATGAACAGATGCACGACCACAGTGGTAAGTCCAATGGAGGAGAGGAAATGGATCCTAAAGTAATCTTTTTTTTTTCTGTTAGAAAATTATATATTTTTTTATTGTTATTAACATTGTATTCTGTGATACAGTTTTATAGGCACTGTGATTCCCCCCACCCCTCCTATACCCCTCCCCCCATAGTGGATTCCTCCACCTTGCTGCATAACTACAGTTTAAGTTCAGTTGAGATTCCTTCATTGCAAGCATATACCTAGCATAAAGTCCAGCATCTTATTGTCCAGATAAGTTCAACAGCTTCTTGGGGAGACCTTCTCTGGTCTGAAGGTAGAGCTAACAGAGTAAAATCCCGGTCAGTTAAAAGCCCCAACAAAACATCAGCAACAATATATAGTGTTATGGAATTAATTGACATAGTATTGAGTAAACTTAAACCTGAAAGTTTGGTGTTGAAGTGAAGTATCAAGTCCAGCCGCATGGATGTAACCTACCATTTGTTTGCATCTTTGCTGTGGTGGTCATGATCATTAGACTATGGTGTTGCACATTCCCTGTGCATTGTCGTGGTTAAATCGAGCGTTTCTGGAATCAACTATCATCTGGGAAGACAGAGCTGCATGAAGCTAACACAGCTCCGAGAAGCTTGAATGTGTCTGAAGCCCGTGGAGGATGAGGCCTCCAGGAGGGACCAGATACTTGTTTATTTCAAGGCCAGTTTAACCCTTGGCCACCTCAGCTGCCAGAAGGAATCAGAGGAACAGTCTCCTTCTTCCCAGTGCCCTCATCAGCATCTGTTCTCCATCTGAGACCAAGCTAACCTGACTTGACCTTCAGAGACAGGAGGTAGCTAAGACCACCCTCTAGTAGACAAAAGCCAGCCTAATCGATTGGTCCTGGTGTCACACTTGGGAACCCAAAGTGCCAACTGTCTGGTTTTCCCTTCCCTGTCTCTGCCCCTCCAGTTCTGCAGGTGACAGAGGTGGAGATATGGGTAGTCATTTTTGAGGTGGGGGGGGGAGGGCAACTCTGCTTAGCACTCCACCCTTCCCTTCCCTTTCCTTTGCTTCTCAGATCCTTGGCACATAGGAAACTATTTTCTATCTCCAAGAGCTACTACCAGGAGTTATCTTTAGTCTGAGCTAAAAAACTGAGAAGAAAGGAGCTCATTGATACCTACTCATAAACGTAGAAAGTGGTCTGGTAGCAAATTGGTAACCAGGGCCTTGGCTAATTTATTTCTTTCAGATTTTTTCCTGAAGCCCAGGCTCCAGGAACAAGACGTCCAGAGGAAACCAAGTTCTATTTACACTCACATATGCAATCCCTGGGTCTCACTGTTGGGGGTGAGTCATTTCATCTTGATCCCAATTGTCCCTAAGACTAAAGTCAGACAAAAACATTGTGATCTTGGGGGAAGGAAAGAGAGTGCTTAATATAGTGTAATATGCTTTAAATGCCTACTTATATTAGAGTTTAGATGAGAACTGCATGTGGCAAGATTACGTCTAAGAAACATCTATTTCAATCAATGCCTCACTTTTCAAAGAATTACTTGTCACTGATAACTTCTGGGTTGCTCAACTTTTAGGTACCCTAAGTTAGCTGTGTTAAGAGGAAGTTCAGAAAAGGTAGGCTACAATAACGGCTCTACTTTTCCATCAAAGAATATTTCCGGGAAATGTCCTTCTAAATATCTGTGTAGACTAGTTATTTTGAATTATCAGCAAACTTTGTTCAGATTTTTATGGTTAGCATTGATATAAAGTGCTATTTCTTTAGGCTGTGGCCCTGTGACTGACTCGCCATGAGGAAAAAACCCTGGTGACTTGTCTTTCCTGCTCTGTTTGCACAGGCTATTGGGTCTCTTCTCATCATGTTTGTGATCCAGTGGGTCTACACCCTGGTTAACATGGGTGTTGCAGCCATTGTGTATGTCTACATCGGCCAGGCCAGTCCAGGACTTCCTCTTGGTAAGCAGCAGAGCCATTTTGTCACTATTTCTCTTATTCTTCGGCATTCATTAAAACAAACAAATTTTGAACATCTATCAAATGCTGAAATTGATTCAGGTGTGAATCCCATTTTCTTTTTTTTTTTTTAAGGTTTATTTATTTTTATTGGAAGTCAGATATACAGAGAGGAGGAGAGACAGAGGGGAAGATCTTTCATCTGATGATTCACTCCCCAAGTGACCGCAATGGCTGGAGCTGAGTCAATCAGAAGCCAGGAGCCTCTTCTGGGTCTCCCACGTGGGCGCAGGGTCCCAAGCCTTTGGGCCATCCTGGACTGCTTTCCCAGACCACAAGCAGGGAGCTGGATGGAAAATGGAGCTGCCGGGATTAGAGCCAACACCCATATGGGATCCCAGTACATTCAAGGCTAGGACTTTAGCCTCTAGGCTATCACGCCAGGCCCAAATCCCATTTCAAGTAGCTTATAGTTGAGGGGAGAAATATGACATACACGTAACTGCTATCATTTAATATTATGCAAATGAAAACAACTTGTAAGGAATATAGGACATGCAGAAGTAAAATGGAGAACAATGACAGTACAAGGGAAGAAAAGGAAGTATAATATTGCAAGATTTTTTTGAAAAATGTATTTGTTTTTATTTGAAAGGCAGATTTACAGAGAGGAGAGATACACAGAGAGGTCTTCTATCCATTGGTTCATTCCTCAAATGGCTACAACAGCAGAGTGGAGCCAATCCAAAGCCACGAGTTAAGAACTTCTTCTGGGTTTCCCCTGAGGGTGCAGGGTCCTAAGGACTTGAGCCATGCTCCACTGCTTTCCCAGGCCGTAAGCAGGGAGCTGGATGGGAAATGGAGCAGCTGGGACACAAACTGGTTCCCATGTGAGATGTTGGTGCTTGGAGACACAGGATTGGCTAGTTGAGACACAGTGTCAGCCCCTGTTGTAGGATTTTATACTGTTTGGTAAGTTTAAGGTGTGAGCTATAAATCATAAGACAACTGTTAAAATAATATAACAAAGAGTAATGGTGAGATATAGAGGAGATTAAATGAAAAGAAACAAATCTGAAATGAAAATAAAGCAGAAAAAGAGGAAAACGATATTGCAGGATATGTAGACAAGCCATAGAACAAATAATAAGGAACTGCTGTTGTGGCACAGCAAGTCAATTCCCTGCCTGTATTGCTGTCAGGCCGTATGAGAACCAGTTCCAGTCCCGGCCGCTCCACTGCCATCCCAGCTCCCTGCTAATGTGCCTGGGAAAGCAGAAGAATATTGGCCCAAGCACTCTGGCCTCTGTTATACATCATGGAGACTGGGATGAATGTCTAGACTCTGGCTTTGGCCTAACTAGACCCTGTTATTCTAGCCATTTGGGAAATGAACCAGCACATGGAATACTTCTCTTTCTCTGTTTCTTTGCCCTCTCTTTAACTCTGCCTTTTCATTGATCTTTAAAAAACTTAATGAAATGGTTTATATAATCCTAGCCACATCAATAATTGCATTAAGTATAAATGCTCTAAACACTCCCAGTTAAATGTCAAGTATTATCAGATTGAGTAAAACGGCATGACCCAAATATATGCTACCTACAATAAATCTTTATTTAAATATAAAATCGCAGGCAAAATAAAGAGATTAGGGCAGGTGTCATTAATCATTAAACTACTACTCGAAATGCTCACATCCCATACTGGAGGACCTGGGTTCAAGTCTCAGCTCTGCTCCCAATTCTAACTTCTTGTGCCCACTGGGAGGCAATTGGAGATGGTTTAAGTAATTGGGTCCCTGCTCCCATGTGAGAGACTCAGATCGACTTTTTGGCTCCTAGCTTTGGTCTAACCCAGTTCCAGCTCTTACAATCTTCTGGGGAGTGAACCAGCAGGTGACAGATCTATGCCTCTCAAATAAATAAAAATAAATTTAAAAACTGAAAAGAAAGGTAAATGTTTAGACAACGACATACCAGGCTATCACTAATGTAAAGAAAGCTGAAGTGGCTATGTTACCAGTTAGGCAAAGTAGATTTCTCTTTTATGTATGTGTGTATGTATGTATGTATGTGAAAGGAAGAGTTACAGGGGGTGGGGGGGAGTAAAGGACAGAGAGAGATCCTCCATCTGCTAGTTCACTCCCTAAATGGCCACAGTGGCTGGAACCAGACCGGGCTGAAGCTAGCAGCCAGGAGCTTCATCTTGGTCTCCCACAAGGGTGAGCAGGTGCCAAAATAGGCCATCTTCCACTGATTTAGCAGCAGAGAGGTGGTTTGGAAGTGGAGCAGCTGAAACTCGAATTAATACTCATGAGATACCAGTGTCACAGGCAGCAGCTTAACAGGCTATGCCTCACACTGGTCCCAGACAAAGTAGATTTCAGGGAAAAAAAAAAAAACACAATTCTAAAAAGAAGTCTTATAAAAAAAAATCGTCAAGAAAGCATAATAAATGCTAACATTTGTTTACTTAAACAGAGCTTTGAAATATGAACATGAAGCAAAACCTAATATAACTACAAGACAAAAAGACATAGTCATTGCCAGAGATTTCAACAACACCTCTCTCCCAGTAATTCAGAGCTGAGGGGGGACGGGCCATGAGCCCTAGAAGCCTCACAACTTGATGTGTTCCGTCTCTGCCAAGGGAAACCACAGGCAAGACTCGAAACTCAGTAAATCTATAGCAGGCCTCGTTTTTAAAGACTATTTATTTGAAAGAGTTGCAGAAAGAAAAAGAACCACACACACACATACTCAAAAACACACATCATCATCATCATCGTCTATCTGCTGATTTAACCTCCCCTCTAAGTGGCCACGATGGCCAGGTCTGAACCAGGCCAAAGCCAGGAACCTTGGCTTCCTCTGGGTCTCCCACAGAGGTAACACAGGTCCAAGCACTTGGGCCATCTTTCTCTGATTATCCCAAGCTATTACCAGGGAACTGGATCAATAGGGAAACAGCTGAAATAAAAACCGGTGCCCATTTGGAATGTTGGCAGTGCAGGCAGTGACTTAATGTGCTATGCTACACTGCTGGCCCCCAAGCAAGCCAATTTTTAAGCTAATAATGTTGTATGGCCTGTATATGATGTTATAAATATCCAAATGGCCCCTGGCAGAAGACAAGTTCTTCACTCCTGCAGCAACTGATAGAACTAATAAACAGTAAAGCTATGGAAAACTTTATAATATTATCAACAAGGCTGGCTGACATTTATAGAAACGCTACCACCAAAACAGAACACAGCTTCTTTTTCTTTCTTTCTTTTTTAAAATTTACTTAATTTTTTCTGGAAACGCAGATTTACAGAGAGAAGGAGAAACAGAGAAAGATCTTCCATCAGGAGCTGAGCTGATCCAAAGCCAGGAGCCAGGAGCTTCTTATGGGTCTCCCAGGTGGATACAGAGGTCCAAGCACTTGTACCGACTTCTGCTGCTTTCCCAGGCCATCAGCAGAAAGTCAAATCAGAAAGGGAACAACTGGGATACGAACTGGTGCCCATATGAGATGCGGGCAGCTGGAAGTATTAGCCAGTTGAGGCAACACACCGGCCCCTAGACCTTCCTTTCAACTTAAGTGAAGTACATGCCAGGATGATCCATATTTTAGGAGAAATAAAACAAGTTTCTAAAAATAAAATACTCTAGACAATACAAGAGCAATGCTTTCTGGTCAATTAGAAACATGCAGTAGAAAGATTCAGAATATTCCCCGATATTTAGAGGAACACTGAGTAACCAAGAATATGAAATAAACTATAGAAATGAATCGCTCATGTCAAAGAAGAAAATAGAAATGAAATTACAAAATATTCCCCTAATAAAAATGCAGAGATTCAAAATTATGGGAGCTAGCCAACTCAGTTTGAAAGATCTTCAGTAAGTTCAAGGAAATGGATATCACAGAAAATATCTGCATGGATTTCAGAACCTTTTTCGCAATGAAATAAATGTGTCTTTTAATTGTTTTTTTTTTCACAAACTTTTCAAGTACCATCACCTAAGGGATGCTATCATCACATAAGGGAAATTTACAGCATGAAGTTCGTTATTAGAAAATAAGTTTTCAAATCAGTGATGTTGGCTTTCAACTTAAAAAAGAAGAGTAAATGAAATCCAACTTAAGAAGAAACAAAGGAAATGACAAAAGTTAAAGTGGAAATAATTACAGTGTAAAATGAAAGAGAAGAAAAAGAATGCCAGTAAAAGAAAAAAATGTGTTATATGAGCACATCAATAAAATTGATAAACCCCTAAAACCTGACTGATCATAATAAAAGCAACATCAATTACCAATTCCATAAGTGAGATTTCATCACTGAAGAGTCTTCATGTTAAAAGAAGATAAAGGTATATTATAAATAGCTTTATTTCAATAAATTTGACAATTCAGATGAATTGGGCAAATTCCTTGCAATATACAAACTAGTAAAACTCATTGGAGAGGAAATAGTTATACAGCTATTCAAATTATGCCTTAAAGAAATTAAATAAGTTTATTAAAAATATTTTCATAAAGAAAACTCTAGATCCAAAGTTCACTGGTAGTCATTAATGAATTCCACCAAACACTTATGGAAGAAAGAATATCATCAGTTCTAGAAGAACTCTTTGGAAAATTGCAATTACTTATTTATGAACATAGATCCAAAAATCCATAACAAAATGGTAACTAATGGAATCCAACAATACGAGCGTATGAAAAAGCTAATACTTCATGACTAAGTGGGTTTATCCCAGGAAGACAAGGTTAGTTAGTTTAAAATTTGAAATTAATGATTTAAAGATGAAAAATGCAAACATTAAGGTGTTGATGAGAATAAATTATAGAAACAAACAAATGGAAGCATCCTGTGATCATGAATTAGAAGACTCTATATTAATTTTTTTCTTTTCTGCCCAAGACTCTATATTCTTAGGACATTAGTTGTCCCTAACTTCTTACATAGGTTTGACACAACTCATCAAAATCTGAGCTCCCTTCTTTTGTAGAAATTGACAAGCAAATTCCACAATATTTATGTAGCCCTGCATGATTGCTCAATTGGAATAATTCTCCCTTTTCAAAGCTCTGGGATCCCATATGGGTGCTATTTCATGTCCTGGCTGCTGCTCCACTTCCCTTCCAGCTCCTTGCTTTTGGCTTGGGAAAGCAGTAGAGAATAGCTCAAGTGATTGGAAACCTGCACCCATGAAGGAGACTTGGAAGAAGCTCCTAGCTCCTGACTTTGGTTTGGCTCAGTTCAAGACTTCCTCTTTTCAAGGTTGATGTTACATTCTTAGTTATTAATTAATGTTAATAAAATGTTTTGTTATCTTCCCTCTGTCACACAATACAATGCAACAGAGTGTCTTCTCTCAGCAATTTTAGATATGAGTGCAAGTCTAAAATGTGTCCCGGAAAGATACTGAGGAAACACCATATACCATTGATATTAGACAGATATTCAGACACAGGCCTCTCAAAATAATACTAACTTCCTGATCATATATCTGACATTATCTCATTAATCAGTTTGCAACCTGTGTATATATGATTTGGAAAAGCATTTTATAAAATTACATTGACTTATTTTTCTAAAGTATTTATAAATTATTATGTGAATATTTTAAACATACACAAAAGCAATGGGTGAATTCTCTTTTCCAAAAATATTTGGTAAAACCTATAGAGACGTTTGCTGGTTCTCGTGTATGTTGGGAGTTTAAATACATTGACCCTGTTCAAACTGGGCTTCTGTGGGGCAGGTATGTGATCTGGCAGCCTGGTGCCTCCTGCGTGCTGCTTTGGGCTGTCTGGGCTTGCCATGGATCCCCAGTTCCCAAGTCCCACTTCCTGCTAATGGAAGGCCCGAGAGGCAGAAGTTGGTGACTCAAGTGTTGGGTCTCTGCCGTTTCCGTGGAAGACACGGATGAAGTTCCTAGCTCCTACGGCAGGCATTTGGGGGAGTGAACTGGTGGGTGGAGGCTGTGTATCTCTCTACCTCTAGCTCTTTTTCTTTCTCTCACTTTCTCCCTCCATGTCTTTCTGTGGGTGTTTGTATGTGTGTGTCTTTTTGTATCTCAAAAAGCCATTTGAAAAAAAAAAGAAAAGAAAAACAGAAACGCTGCAACACCTGGGATTGTAGCAGCTCACGCCTTCATAAACGCTAATGTAAATGTCTTCCCTACAGGATCAGCCTCCAACTTCAGCTTTTTCCGATGGATGAGGTCTCTTCTGACCCCCACCTGCAGGTCTGTGCGCATTGGTGGTGGTGGTAAGGAGGGGTCAGTACCAGGGTGAGTGAGTGTCCAGAATCCTGGGAGGTGTCCAGGATACCCCACTCCCAGCTGGCTTTGGGCCTAGTGTGGGAAGCTGGCAGTTGAGAATGTGCAGGAATCTTGGGTTTTGCTCCCCTCTGTGTTCCACCAGGACATCCAGACCCCATGCATCAGGCCTTCAGAAGCTCCTATCAGCTTGGGCCCTCTTCCCCTCAACCCTCAGTGATCATGAGTGGAGGCTTGTTTTAGAAACCCACAGTGGGGCTCACGAATCTCGGCCCCCAACTCTCAGGCAGTTCACGGTAACATCCCTTCAGAAGCTCCTATCAGCTTGGGCCCTCTTCCCCCCAACCCTCAGTGATCATGAGTGGAGGCTTGTTTTAGAAACCCACAGTGGGGCTCACGAATCTCGGCCCCCAACTCTCAGGCAGTTCACGGTAACATCCCTTCAGAAGCTCCTATCAGCTTGGGCCCTCTTCCCCCCGACCCTCAGTGATCATGAGTGGAGGCTTGTTTTAGAAACCCACAGTGGGGCTCACGAATCTCGGCCCCCAACTCTCAGGCAGTTCACGGTAACATCCCTTCAGAAGCTCCTATCAGCTTGGGCCCTCTTCCCCCCAACCCTCAGTGATCATGAGTGGAGGCTTGTTTTAGAAACCCACAGTGGGGCTCATGAATCTCGGCCCCCAACTCTCAGGCAGTTCACGGTAACATCCGTGCATAATCACACACAAGATCAGAACGCAAAGGCAATGTGAAGCCAGGGCTTGCATTCCTGCATCTCACATCAGGGGGCGGTAGGCATGACCTTCGTGGTCATGCAGAGGCTAAGTGCAGAAGTCAAGCAGAGTTCCTCAGTGTCCAGATGCCAGGAGAGGCAGATGCACCTCTGTGAGAAGCAGAAGGCGCCAGAGAGAAGGCCAGCTTAATCAGGCACCCTGATGTCCTTCCTGCTCCAGCTCTCACACTGCCAATGCTTTCTCAACTTCAAAAGCCTTGGGATCCTCAAGAATGACCTCTACCCTGTGTCCGCTTTCTGTGTCAGCAGCCAAGGCTTCAGGCTGGGAATATCCGGGCAGAACCCCACCCAGTGTTTATCTGGTTTCATTTTGGTTGGTTTGTTTTTGCAACTCTAGATGCACTTGCCAGTATTTCCCAACTCCCACGCCAAGACATTGCTAATGGATCTTGGGACCCTTTTCCATTGGTCCCAGATGTACATGCAGAGCCTTCTATTTTCTCTCATATTGTTGCTGTGGCAAAATACACATATAACATAAAATCCACCACCATAACCACTTGAAAGCTGATGGCCCAGTGGTGTTCTGTACTTCTGTGTTGTGGTCCAGCCATCATCCCCAATCCAGAACCTTTCATCTTTCCACACTGAAACCCCAAGCCCACCAAACACTAACCCTCCATTTCCCAGAGTCCTTTTCAAGACAGCTCTTTACAAGAACCACCGATTTTAATTTAAATTGCTACAAGAAAGAAAACCTCAGTGTTAGAGTTTGGGATGATGACAAAAACCAAAAAAGACCAGGGGCTGCAGAAACCAAGAAAGGGGGCCCAGGGACTGAGGCTGGAGTTTGGAAGGAGGGGCTACCCATCCTCACCTGCCGAGGCTAGCTGGGTTACTTGTCCAGGTGGAGCCAAAAGGAGGGTGAGGTCCAAGGTTGGGCTCACTTGGAAACAGATGTTATGTTGGATGCTGCCTACAGATTTTGAAGCTGAAAAGTACTGTGTGGGTGAGAGTGTTTGGTCTTATCTGATTAACAAGAACATTTTTTTAGTCCTTTCTTGCTGTAAGACCAACTGTGGCCTTGAAGGTGACTACTCTTTTTGTTGTACTCTGGAGTCCTGAGGTTCCCTGAGCTCTGAATGCAGAGCTCTGTAAAAGATGGCTCTTGGGAAAGGACAGGTGTTTGGGCTGGAGTAGAAGTCAAGTGGAAGTGGGCAGTCTCCATCTACCCTTGGCCTTGCCATGGCTCCTAGGAGACAATCTGCAATGTTCAGGATGATGATTCATTTCAAAATAAAAAGCAAGCTGCTGTGTTTTCCATTCTGTAGCTTTGAACTTTCCCCTCCCTGCAGCACCAAACATCCTTCAAACCTCTGTGTCCTTCTGGGTTTGGGCAGAAGAATTTGCTCTATTACTCCCTCTTACATCTGCACCAATGTGATGCTAATCCTGACCTTGAGAAGGCTTTCTCTTCTGGAACCATAGCAACTGTCCAAATAAGAGTTCTTAAACCATTCTAGACTAGAAAGTAAAATATGTTATTACTCCCAGCTCAAAAGAATGTGATGGTTTCATCTTTTTTTTTTTTTTTAAGGCACTGGTAAAAATACTGCCTTGATTGATTTGACATTTTATGTCCCTTTCTAACCTTACTTATATTTTTTTAAAAATTACTATTATTTTGTTTGAAGGGCAAGAAAGATCTGTCATCTCTTGCTTCACTTGGCCAATGCTCTCACCAGGCTGGGCTGGGCCAGACCAAAGCCACGAGCCTGGAACTCCGTCTGGGTCTCCCACACAGGTGGGAAGGACATGAGTGCTTGAGCCCATTATGTCTTGCCTTCCAGGCTGCCAGCCTGCAGGGCAGGGGAGCCAGAACTCAAGCAGGCCCTCTGCTAGGGGATAAGGGCAGCACCCACTTAATCTCGACAGCCATGGCACAATCCCACCCCCTAACCTTAGCTTATGCAGCTTTTACAAAACCACATTCCCAGAACCCTCTGCTTCTATAGTTTAGATCAGTTATCGCCAAATGACTGCCACGCCTTTAATCAGGTGATCGGAACTTGAGTGGTGTAACATTTTGCCAGAGTATTAGTTAAAACTTTTCTGCTTCAACCAATTGATGAAAATAAACATCTACCTTTTTACGGCTCTCATATCTGTTCCGGATGGAAACAGTTGAACTTGACGATGAGCAACGGGCACAATTCTTTGAGAGTAAAATGGTGAAGAGGCACTTGGTTGCCTAACTCCAGACTTCAGGCCCTCCCACAGACGGCTGGGCCTGGCGGGGAGCTGGGAAGATGAACAAACAGAGGTGGAAGGAGGTCAAGAGATCTCCCGAGACCACGAAGCAGATTGGTGATGGAGCCATGGCTGTTTCTGTGTTCTGAAGCTGCGGGGACTACCTGTCTGAACTTGGCTTCCTCCGTTCTCCTCTCGCACGTCCTCTAGCGTAGGCTTCATCCAGCTGTATCTGAATGCAGAGCTCCTCTGGGACTCGCCGTTTGCCTGCAGACCACCTTTTCTCTCCAAAACTTTGCAACTTGCCTTTTTGCTATTTGCCTTATGACTGTGGCTCTGGGAATCCATTCCTGGTCCAACTTGCTTTCCAAGCTGTCAGGAGAAACTTTCCCTTCCTGCTCTCCTAATCACCCAGCTTCTCTACTCCATTATTCATTTGAAAAAAAAAAAAAAGAAGAAGAAGAAGAAGAAAAAGAAAAGCTACAGAGCCCTACTATGACACCATTTGGAAGGCAAAAGTCCTCGTTGTAGTTTTTCTCCTACCATGTGAATATTGTTTTATGCTTTTCTGCTTAAGAAGGTAATGATCATCCTACTTTTAAAATTTGCTGTGAGGATACTTCAAAAAAAAAAAAAAAACTCGTGGAAAAAGTGACATTAAAGCATAGGTTTATTGTGGCACAGAAAGGTGCGATCTGTTTAGTCTTTTGTAATGCCCACTTTTCATGAACTTTTCTAAAGACTGTCCCGCGTTGTTCAGAAGCTGTCCTCCCTAGCAGCTTCCAAGGCTTACATGGGCAACATTTCAGACCCTGCTCGGTCATGTGCACAATGGATGGTCTGACCAGAACAGACTTACCTTCCCTGGTCTCCACTTGGCTCTTCGCTCCTTACCACCCTCTGGGTCTCTTTCTGCTCTCTCTCTCCCTGAAGGAGCTTGCGGTCCCCCCAGGAACAGATCATTTTGGCGCCGTCCCCTGCCAGGGTTGACATGGCAATGACCCAGCTCACTCAGGAGAACGCTGACTTCGCTTCCCGGGATCGCTACCACCACGCCTCCTCCGTGAGTCGGGAACAGCTGATGCCTCGATACTAGAAGCCGCACTGGGACCCTTGGGCCCGGACCTTGGGTGGTGCTGCTTCTCCTCGGCCGGCGGGAAACTCCAAGACCCGCCATTCCCACTGCTGCTTTAGACGACGGCTGAGAGCCCCGAGTCTACCCTCTGTAACCTTAGAAAGAGCTCTCCATCTTCCCGGACACCAAAACTGCCAGAAGTGGGGAACCATACCTTGCTATTTCTGAGAGCTTCAATAAATGCTCATTTTTAATTAAATTTATTTATTTAATAAAGAAGCTACTCACATGGTTCCAAACCCCAAAATATACTCGGGGGAAGAGTGAAATCTCACTCCTATCCCTTCTGCTCAGCTCCTACCCCGACCAGAGACAACCACATTCTCATATACACTTCCTGCTGTCCTTCTGAACGTACAGTCACACCGTAATGTGGGCTCTGACCACTCCCTCTTTAATACACAGAGGTAGCCATGGGTGCTGCACCTAGCTTTTTTTTTTTTTCCTTTAAACTGTATGTTGGAGATATTTCCATGTCAGTCCGGATGCAGCATCCTCATTGTGTCTTGTTGTATGGCATGCTATGATTTATTCTGCCAGTTCCACTGTGATGGGCACCTTGATTTTTCCCAGTCTTATCACATCCGGGTCTATAGTGAATCATGTTATATGTACGGGCATAAAGGATTATCCTCAGAAGTGGGACTGCAGGATCCAATAGTACAGGTGTCTATCAGCTCTTATGGTTTAGAGAAGGTCTTTTTCATTTAAAAGATGACTTACTATGAAATAGCCCACACTAACGGATGTGCTCACAGGTTGTTTGTGGTCTCTGCTGCCTTGTGTTATGCATGGCCACAGAGGAGACAGGACTTAGCTGGTTCCTCTGAGAGACCAGCATGGCATTGTTCAGAAGTGTCCACAGTGAGGGCTGGGAAGGTGCTGGGGAGGGCACCTGGGCCATGACTTCTTTTAGCTAAGTTCAGTACCTAACTTAGAGCTTTGGTCCCTGAGTCATGGAGGAGAGTATTTGAGTCACTTCTCACTAGACTTTATCTGATCAGCATGCTGTAAATCACAGTCGTTGTTCCAACTGCAGACTGGGGCAGATACTAGTGGTAAAGACACCAGTCAAGATGCCTACATCCCATGTTGAAATTCTGGAGCTCTTGACGTGGCCCTCCATCCTGCCTCCAGCTTCCTGCAAACCTTGGGAGATGGTGGTGATGCCTGAAGGATTTGGGTTCCCGCCATCATGTGGGAGACTTAGATTGGATTCCCAGCTCTGAGGTCCTGGCCCAGTCCTAGTGTTTACAAAAATCTGGGGAGTGAGTTAGCAGATAGCATCTCTCTCCCGATTCCTTCATCTCTCCCTTCTTACACACACATGCGCATGCAAACACACACACGTTCTCGCTCTCTTTTACTTCTTTATTCCTCTGTTTCTTCACCACTCTCTCCATCATGCCTTTCCTCTCTCTCTAATAAATAAGTAAGTTTTTCTTGGTCAGATTTCTGTACCTCCCCCCTAATCTTTTTATCTGGTGATTTTGGGAGTGTAATCATGGACTTCACATCTTCTGTAAGTTCCTCAGAACCACACTTTGAATGGCACTGACCTGTTGGATAGAAGGGGTTTTTAGAGCAGATGAGAGCTGGGAAGTACCTGGGGAGGGGCCAGTTCAATCATGCCATTCATTCCTGGGAGATGAGGTCTCATGATGGTAGCTGTTCACAAAGTCTAGATTTGGTTAAGAACAAAATTCCCAAGCATCATCAGAGATTAACTTTGAGAACGCAAACTTTGACTCAGCCATAGGCTGTGTGGAGGTGAAAAACACCACACTAGGGCACATGGTAGTCATGAGGGGCTGGATGAGGTGATCACCAAAGACCCTTTGAAGAAAAGGCTGCACTTGCTTCCTGTGGTTGCTGTTGTGAATTACACAAAGCAATTGGCTTGGGCTTGGCGTGATAGCCTAGTGGCTAAAGTCCTCACCTTGCGTGCACCAGGACCCCATATGGGCGCTGGTTCTAATCTCAGAAGCTCTACTTCCCTTCTAGCTCCCTGCCTATGGCCTGGAAGAGCAAATCAGAATGGCCCAAAGCCTTGGGACCCTGCACCCATGTGGGAGACCTGGAATAAGTTCCTGGCTCCTGGCTTAGGATTGGTTTGGCACCAGCCATTGCGGCTACTTGGGGAGTGACCCAACAGATCTTTCTCTCTTCTCTGGCTTCTCAGATTTATTTCTCAGATTTCTGTAAATCTGACTTTCCAATAAGAATACATAAATCTTAAAAAAAAAAAAAAAAAAAGAAAAGAAACAGAACAGGATCACAGGAGGTAGAGTGCTGAGCCGGGAGCTGGGGCTGTGGAAACCATAGTGGAAGTCTAACATAGGAGCCCAGATCTGAACTCACTGGAGGGAGTGGCACAAGTGACTGCAAAAAAAGAAACACGCACCAAACACAATAAGCAAAACTGAATTGCAAACCTGTGGGTGACATAGCTTAGAAACCTGTCCCAAGGTGAAGAAACTGCTAAATAGAAGTACAATGACCAAGAGCAGAAGAAGAGACAGAGGCACAATGAATTTTACTGAAGGAGCAAAACCTTTGCCAACCTCAGAATTAACTGAGAAAGACATTGAGAAAATGGGAGATACAGAATTCAAAACATTTGTTACAAAGCTTCTTAACAATGGGAAGCACATGCAGGAATGTAATCAGTATGTCACACAGGAAGTAACACTGGAATAAAATCATGCCAAATTATTGGAAATGAAAGACACAATAGAGCAAATTAAAAATACAGTGGCAAGTCTCAATAATAGAATGAAGAACAGAATTCTGAGAAAGAATCTCAGAATTGGAAGATATTCTCACAATGGAGAAGCAATCAAAAAGCTGGAAAGAGAACTGGGTCAAGCTAAATAAAAAAGGATTCAAAAATTAAGAGACACTACTAAAAGACCAAATATAAGGGTTATGGGAGTTCTAGGAAATGCAGAAAGAGAAGCTGGGTTTAAAAATGTATTTAATATGGGACCTGATGCAATGGCACAGTGGTTAAGGTCCTCGCCTTGCATGCCCTGGGATCCCATATGGGCGCCGATTCTAATCCCGGCAGCCCTGCTTCGCATCCAGCTCCCTGCCTGTGGCCTGGGAAAGCAATCGAGGATGGGCCAAAGCTTTGGGACCCTGCACCCGTGTGGGAGACCTGGAAGAGGCTCCTGGCTTCGGATTGGCTCAGCTTCGGCCGTTGCGGCCCGCCTGGGGAGTGAATCATTGGACGGAAGATCTTCCTCTCTGTCTCTCCTCCTCTCTGTATATCTGACTTTCCAGTAAAAATAAAATCTTTTAAAAATGTATTTAATAAAATAATCAAATAAAATTTCCCTAATCTGGACAAAGATTGGGAAACAACATGCAGGAGGGCCACAGAACTCCCAACAGGGTTGTACAAAAGCAATCTTCAACATGACACATGATAATCAAGCTATCTTCAGATGAACATAAGGAAAAGATCCTTAAATATGCACGTGAAAAAAAACCAGTTGACATACGGTGGAATGGCAATTGAATTCACTGAAGACCTCTCACAGGAAACTCTATAGGCAAGAAGAGAATGGAGTGACATATTCCAGTTCTAAAAGAAAAAAAATTGTCGGCCCAGGATAACGTACCCAACAAAGCTTTCCTTTGTCTTTAAAAATGAAATAAAACTCTTCCACAGTAAAAAAAAAAAAAAAAAAAAAAAAAAAGTTAAAAGAATATGCCTCTTCCAAATCTTCCCTACAAGGATACTTAAAGGTGTTCTTTTGACAGAGAAAAGGAATAGTGCCCACCAAAACCAAAGGCAAATGGGAAGAACATCCCAGTAAAATAGCAAGACTAAATCAATGAACAGCCCATTGCTAAAAATGACAGAACAAAATTACCACCCATTCATATTAACCCTGAATGTAAATGGCTAAAACTCATCAATTAAATGTCGTAGCTTAGTAGACTGGATTAAAAACACAAAACCTATCTATTTGTTGCCTACAGAAGATACATCTCACCAAGAAAGGCTAGTGTAAACTGTATCTCATGGATTTTTACAGGTTTTTTTTAACTTCATCTCTTCAGAACACTTTTTTCTCATTAAATTCTTCATTGACTCATAGATACAGTAGCATCATTTTCTTCTCAAAAAGTTCTTGATTTTCTTTTTCATTTCTTCAGCGACACATTAGTCATTCAGTAGCATGTTATTTAACTGCATGGCATGGTAAATTTCTTTTTTTCCTTCCTGTTGATTTTGTTTTGCAGCTTTTCATTTAAGGGGATGTACAGTAATTGTGTAATGGAGACTATCATATCCAGTGGCATGTTGTTTAACTCCATAGCATTGTAAATTTCTGCTTTTCTTCCTGTTGATTTTGTTGTGGTTTTTCACTTGGGGGGATGTATAATAACTGTGTAGTGGAGACTGACATGTCCAGATGTGAGGATACGGTGCAGTGTGCATCTCTACTTCTAGATCGAGGATGGGCTCCCAATGAAACTGTTGTATGTGTTATCCCAGGGCCTATGAAACTGTATCATAAAATGATAATAATTTTAAAAAGAGAGAAAAAAGAAAAAGTGAAAAAAAAAGCACTTAGCTAAAAAAGCAGCACAAAATTCCTCTGTCAGAATTCTGGAAGCCAAAAGTCTGCCATTGGCCGTCTGGGCAAGTATCAAGTTGTCAGGGCTGAGCAGTGGTGAAGTTGGGAGTGTTCCTTTCCCGTATCTTCTGGGTTCTGGCGGTAGCCAGCATTCCTTGATTTGTGGTCTGATAACCCAGTCTGCAGCATATCCCCCGTCCTTCCCTACACTGCCTTCTGTGTGAAGTCAGCCTTTATCACTCTGATACAGGGATGCATGTGATTGCCTTTCAGACCCACCCAGTTAATCTAGCATAATGCCCTACTCCTTCCTGCCTGTCTGATTCAAGATCCTCAATCAACCTGCAAATTCTTTACCAGTAGATACAATGTGGAAATC